ACTATCTTTAATAATTCTTGTCAATAATCAATGAAATATTTTCTGGAAGAAAAAATTTAGAATCTCAAATTAATAATACTCAAGTAGTAATAACCTAAGAGGGCAAAAAGAGAAAAGGAGAATAAGAGGAAGAACTGAAGGAAGAAACTGCATCATGTAAAGCGAATTTTAAGTACTTAACCAAGAGGCAAATAACTTTAGGAGTTTGCGAGTGTGTGAATGATATACAAAAGTGCAGGTGTTAGGAATTCACACCTCTAACACAAAATTTTTGTAAGTAAATATTTATGGTAAGGAGAGGGTGGCTGACGCCTGGCTGACAGGCAGCTAAATAAGTTGAAGGGGAAAATTTGATGATAAATCTACCTGATCAAGAGTACGAATTGCTTCCTCTGAAGATTCATAATCTGAGAGTTTAACCAAAGCCTCTGCTTTCAAATGAAGACAAAGATTCTTCTGATGAAGACCGCCACCAGACACACCAAGATTATCTATGTTCTTCAGACCTGACAAAATTAAAGACATCGGAATGAAGACAGCCATACCACTTCACTTTTCTTTTTCTTTTTAAGGGTAGGTAACACATAACAAATTGCAGATACAGCAAGAATACAATATTGCCAAAACAATACACATGAAGTATAATTCAAAGCTAAATATAAATTCTTCCCTGAACTCTTTATGGAAATACCTGAATTTAAAAGAGAATAGATCTAAATTTAAAACCTCTATCTTCACATAACATAACTGAACATCCTGAAACACAGCAATGGCTATCTATATTTTGCTACATAACAAAGGTGAAGCCTTAGCCAAAGCATCTCTAACAAAAATAGCACATTAAGGATAATAGAAGGGGAAAGAAGCTGAATTAAGATGAACCACAGTGAACTGTTTCAAGGCCACCAGCTGCATCAAGAGCAGTGAATCACTTTTTATGTTTTTCTGTCCCTGCACCTGACTTATATGAACACATTCAAATAGGCTCCAGGATACCCTTGTGTATCTATTATCTACATTAGAGGAATCAAGAATCTACATTAGAGTGAAGGTCAAAGGACACACCCAAAACTTCCCTGTTACAAAGACAGGGCATCACCATCCATGCCTAAACTGACTTTGTCAAAATTCCAAGTAGAGGAAACCTTTGATAAGAACTCGTTATCGATTTAAAAATAACTATACTAGTGGGCATGCATAGAGACTTGGAGTTTTTTTTTTAACCTCCTCAATGAAATTTAAACTAGTTGGCAAATTAAAATATAAAATATAGCATCTGGGTTTTAAAACCATTATCTTTCTCCTTGAAATTGAGAAGAAACAGTCGACCATCCTTAAAGATGTCAAGAATACCTTGATTGCATGAAAGAATAGCTTCCTTAGGTTTATGCATTTTGACTTGGGCTTCTGCGAGACGATACCATCCAGTTGTGCAGAGAGGGCTTTCCTGTAACCCTAAAGGGGTAACAGCAATCACAAAATCCAAGGTTTCCGTTACTAGTTAGATAAATGGCACCACCATCTACTCCCCAAATCAGATGCCTCCCCTCTCCCTTGTCTCCCATGTCTAATCAATCACAAAGTGACACTGATTCCATAAGCCAATCCATTTCTCTGCCACCACCACTTCAGTTCAGACCTCCATCATCTTCGTCCCAGATCACTGCAAGCGTTTGCCACTCCAATGAATTCTCTTCACTTTAGCCAGAATATTTCTAAAAACACAAATGGGATTATGAAATTGCCCTGCTTAAAACCTCCCACTGGTTCCCAGCTGTGCTTTCGATAGTATGCAAACTCTTTAATGAGGTTTGCAAGGCCTCTATCCAGCCTCAATTATTGCCCCTTCTTACTCCCAAACTCATTCTCAAATCTTGCTGAAGTACCAGGAGTTCCCTGAACCCAAGCTTTCCTCTCACCTCAGGCTATTTCATCTCGTGGCCTTCAATGCTCCTCCCACCACCAGGCTTATATATTTCTCATTCACATTTCAGTTCAAAAGAAAGTTCATCCGGAAACCTCATGCCTGACAAGACTAAGTTAAAGCCTCCAGCCCCTGAAAGCACCGCACCTGCCTCC